TTTTTCGACTTATTTATATCGTGAATACTGAAACAAAACATTTACCGGGCATAAAAGGAATGTTGCTTGCAGAACTTGAAGCGCTTTTTGGATCTGGAGACCTAAAGATCATTGAATAACAACCAAATTCGCAAACATAAATGTTTGTCTCTCCCTCCTTTCTTATCTCTCACTTTTTATCAAAATCCTCTTCTTTCTTCTTTACCCTAAAGAAATTCTTTAATGCTCATATTCAAGGGCCCATTAGGATGCAGTGCTTAGTATATCAGTAATCACTGTCTCGATTACTAGTGCACTTTGAAAATATTACAAGCCACAAAACTGAAAAAAAAGATTTGTTAGGTTGTTCTTTATAATCTGCTTCATCAATAAATGGAAAAAAAAATAAACTTCACGACCTCGATTTGTAAAAGATCATCATCTCTGGCAAATAAGGCCAAACTAATCACCTGCAGTTTGAAGATATATCTAACCTGGTGAGTGACATTAATGTTTTTGCATTGCCTGTTTCAGCACTTTTATCATTTAATATTTCGATATAACCAGTTACTTCGCCTGATCGTACATCTTGCAATGCTTGTAGCTCTAATGTCGTAGCTGAATTCTGCAGAACTTGGTCTTTCAGGCACTCAATATCCGATAATGGTTTCACTGTTCTGAAATTATATTCATTGACTTCCTTTTAACGATAATGAGATAATGTGCTCTGCAAGAAGAACTAGATCTAAAAAATTAAGATGGTAATTGAAGTGACCAAATACTGCTAGGAATAGGCTGATTTATATGATTCTAATAATGAAAATATGACAAAATAATTTGGATTGAAGTAAACTGAAATGAACTGTCATTTTGAAACTGAATACTGTAAAATATTGCTCAGTTATCCAGGAAAACGTACTGTTTGTGGTGGTAAAATAAGACAATACGTGCATATGACTGTAGGGATATAGGAAGAGACACGAGTACGATACCACCTATCAGTACAGCACGCTTAATTCAATAGCTAAGCTGATGTCACTTGAAAGTGAAACTGCTAACTAGAAGAACCCATCACCTTTGCAGCAACACTTTAATGACTATGAGTATATTATACATTTCAAAATTTGATGCGATTCAGGTTATCAAAAATTAAGCCTAATTAAAATTAAAGTGAACAGTTCAGCAGTCTGCATAGTGTGTCATCTTTCAGGAAGGATATACATACCAATTTATGCATAGCGTATACTTGCAACATCATCACTAAATAATATAAACAAAATTTTCGGGCTATGTCTTCGTAATATTTAAGATAGAAAAAAGTCGTCCTTTAATATTTTTGCTAAAGATGATACATAACGACAGATGAACTTCCACGGCAACTGAATCCGAAGGCAAATAATTACTTACTTGTATGTTTTTGTATGAAATATCATATTCTTTGACACACTCTGCAATTAATTTCAATGCACTATTCCGAAAAACAGATTCCGCCTCCGATTGGATCTCTTTTTCCAACATTTCCGCATCTTTGTAGTTATCATTAACTGTAGACTCCTGATTCTTTGAGCAACGCTTGGAGTTTTTGAGCCATATATCCAAGTTCATCTCAATATCCCGACTTTCGAAACCAATTTTATCTCAAATTTAACATTGATTGGTAAGATTTTCGCTATTTAAATATTATTAGAAATGTCACATTCACGATTCGAATTAGTAATTAAGAAGTGTAACGATATTCACGGTTTCCATATTTAACTACGAATTTCTAACTATAGCGTCATTATGATTCTCGAATGTGATTCCTTTGTGATCTGACCTTTAAATCACTACAGAATACACGGGCTATCGTAGAGTTTCAGTGATTTTCTCAAAAAAAGTTTTACAACCTATAAGAAAGTATGGACACTTATAAATTGCTCGAATGAAAGTATAACACCCATAAAAACCCTTCTTTATGATTTCATGCTTTCTTTTTCTCATTTTAAATTAAAAAAGTTTTCGACATCTTGATTTTAAATTGAATTTTTTTTTAAAAAATTCAACAAGATTCACTCTCTTACTCTCAACATCGTTCAAGATCTCTCATTGCGACTTAACTGCTCAATACTACAAATCCAACAAAAAAAAAAAAAAAAGACCTTGAACCCCCGGAACAAAATAAGTAGATTAGTCAGAATGCGCTACTGTCATGAGAATTGCGCCACGCCTTCCCGTATGTACCTCTCCAGTTCCTTCAACACTTTTTTTTTCTAATCTCTCTAAAAACTCTCTCATTTGTCTGACAACTTTCGCTTTTTGATATTTTCTCACGATGAACCCCTTTCATCCTAACATTGAATAAATGAGTTCAAAGGTTAACCTCTACCAAATTTAACCTTTAGCCAGTTATTTAGCATTTAGTTATCTAAGTCTAACTGAAAATTCAAACTGCTTGCTATCACTGAAATATTTCAAGAAAAGATAAGGAGGCAATGTAAATAAAGTCGAAGAAAATTTATGAAATAATTTGAAAATAAAATTTCGAATATATAACATACTCTATTTTGTTTATTCTTCTTTTCATTTAAAATAATCAAATCC